CAGGCCCCCAGCCCCCAGCCCTCAGCCCTGGCCCTGGCCCGACCTCCGGCATTGCTCCGCGGCTGGAAGCGCAATGCCGTTCTTACTGTGCTCCGTTGCAACCATTTTTACTTTCTTTGAACTTTTTTTTTAAAAATACGGAGTCTTACTCTGTAGCCTTGGCTGGAGTGCAGTGGCGCGATCTCGGTTCACCACAACCTCCGCCTCCTGGGTTCAAGCGATTCTCCTGCCTCAGCTTCCTGAGTAGCTGGGACTACAGGAGCGCCATGCCTGGCTAATTTTTTGTATTTTTAGTAGAGACGGGGTTTCACTATGTTGGCCAGGCTGGTCTCGAACTCCTGACCTCGTGATCTGCCTGCCTCGGCCTTCCAAAGTGCTAGGATTACAGGCGTGAGCTAACTCTTACTTTGTTTTCTGCTTAAAACTCACATGATCTAATTGGCATGTCTCCAAGCAAACACGCTCCAGCCCTTAAGAAATGTGCTCTCTGTGCTAAAACCTTGTTACAATGTCTTAAGTCACGGTCCAAAAAGCCAGATTGTTTTCTCAGACACTGTCAAATAGCTCTGCATTCACCGCTGCTGTATCTTTCCTACTCTTCCAGAATCTCTGCTTTCAGTTGGAAGAAGTGGAAATGCCCCCTTATGTTCGCAAGGTTTTCAGCTTTTGCCCAGGCATTGTTCTGTAGAAGCGCTTTGTGGGTTACTTGTGGAAGTGCTATTCAACCCTGTGTAAGGCAGTAGGAGCAGAGAGAGGTCAGAAAGTTTGGTAAATTCTGTGACATACTCCAGATTCATAGTTTAGAAAAACAGCACCTCCACCGGCTGCAGTGGCTCATGCCTGTAATCCCAACACTTTAGGAGGCAGAGGTGGGAGGATCTCTGGAAACAAGGAGCTGGAGATCAGCCTGGGCAACACAGGGAGACCCCCCACCTCCACCCCCATATCTACAAAAATTTTAAATATTAGTTAGGCTTGGTGGTTCTCCCCTGTAGTCCCAGCTATTTGAGAGCCCAGGAATTTGAGGCCTCAGTGAGCTACAATTGTGCCACTGCACTCCAGCCTGGATGACAAAGCAAGACCCTGTCTCAAAACAAACAAATTTTAGCATTATATGCCCACCGTTTTGCACCTTGCTTCTTCCACTTGAGGCAAGCTTGTCCAATCTGCAGACCGTGGGCCTCAGGTGGCGCAGGACTGCTTTGAATGCATCTCAACACAAATTTGTAAACTTTCTTAAAATATTATGAGATTTTTGGGCTGCGTGCAGTGGCTCATGCCTGTAATCCCAGCACTTTGGGAGGCCGAGGCAGGCAGATCACCTGAGATCAGGAGATCAAGACCAGCCTGGCAAACATGGAGAAACCCCATCTCTACTAAAATACAAAAAATTAGCTGGGCGTGGTGGCACACACCTGTAGTCCTAGCTACTAGGGAGGCTGAGGCAGAAGAATCGCTTGAACCTGGGAGGCAGAGGTTGCAGTGAGCCGAAATTGTGCCACTGCACTCCAGCCTGGGCAACAGAATGAGACTCCATCTCTAAATAAATAAATAGATTTTTTGGCAATTTAAAAAAATATAGCTAGCTTATCAGTTACTGTTAGTGTTAGTGTATTTTATGTGTGGCCCAAGACAATTCTTCTTCCAGTGTGGCCCAGGGAAGCCAAAAGATTGGACACCCCCGAAAGGGTATATCCTGGAAGTATATCTTTCCAAGTGAGTCTATATAGAGCTGCTCATGGTTTTTGTGACTGCATAGTATTGTGTCCAGAGTTGATTCCTTCCGGTGGGTTCTTGGTCTCACTGACTTCAAGAATGAAGCTGTGGACCTTCATAGTGAGTGTTACAGCTCTTAAAGGTGGCACAGACCCAAACAGTGAGCAGCAGCAAGATTTATTGTGAAGTGTGAAAGAACAAAGCTTCCACTGCATGGAAGGGGACCCAAGTGGGTTACTGCTGCCGGTTGGGGTGGCCAGCTTTTATTCCCCTATTTGTCCCTGCCCACGTCCTGCTGATTGGTCTATTTTACAGAGCGCTGATTGGCCCATTTTACTGAGTGTTGATTGGTCCATTTTACAGAGTGCTGATTGGTGCATTTACAATCCTTTAGCTAGACATGGAGCACTGATTGGTGCATTTACAATCCTCTAGCTAGACAGAAAAGTTCTCCAAGTCCCCACTCGACCCAGGAAGTCTGGCTTCACCTCTCAATCCCCACTCCAAACAGGACACCCCAACTGCTGTTGGGAATTGGGCAATGACCACTCTAGCTACTTCCTGCTGGATAGGGGTGAAGAAGCAGCCCTGCAGTTGTAGTATCCTCCAAAGGGGAACTCTTTAGGCCAGTCAAAGGGCCAGTAGGTTGGTCCAGGGGTCCTCAGTAGAAATTATTAGTTGAGCTCATTTGGAATTCCATTTGTAAGACCATCTGTAGCTTGATGGCCTCGATCCTAGAGGAAACAAATTTGACAAGGAGGTTAAAAATACAGGGCCGGAAGGAGAGTAATAGCAAGATGGCTGTCACGGGACCTAGAAAGGAGAGAAGCCATCTTGCCCAACTCCAGAGGTTGGTATAAGAGTTTGAGAGGCGTTGTTTGATTTCAGAAGCCTTTTCCTGTAAACGCCAGGCAGCATCTCGTACTATCCCTGACTGGTTGGTGTAAAAACAATACTCTTCCGCTAAGAAGGTTCAGAGTCCTCCTTTCTCAGCAGTGAGGAGGTCTAGGCCTCGGTGGTTTTGGAGAGTTGCTGCTGCCAAAGAGTCTATTTGGGATTGTAGAGTAAGGATAGATTCTGTTATTTCTTGTAAACTGTCTAAGAAATCCTTTGAGAGTGTGTGGTAGTAGGATAATGAAATAGATAAACCTGCTATTCTAGTTCCTGTAGCAGTGGCCATTTCTAACCCTATAAGTAGGGGTATTAGTTGTATGGCCCAGTGCTGACGGACTTGAGCTTTGAGGGGCACTGATAGGGTCTGATTTCCATAAGATTAGAAGTTAGGATAATACATGTTACACTGTTAACTTTTAGCAAACTTCACTTTTGTTGGAAACCTTGTAAGTTTGGGATTTTAATTTTTCTCTGCTATTAATAAAATCTCATTCAGTTCATATTCACTTAGAATTGGTATAGAAGGCTCCTTCCTGATTCTGTAAGTACTTAAAGGTTTGGCTGAGTGCAAACAGCTCACATGTTTGAGCAGACCAATTATTGGGTAATTTTCCTAATTCTGCTTCTACAAGAGTTTCCTTATCACTTACTGAATAGCCATTGTGTCTTTTTCCCTTAATCCCCCAGAAGGAACCATCTATTGTCCTGTCCTGAAGGGAATTCCTCCTATATCTGGTTGGATCTTTGTGTAGTAATTAATTAAGATTCCCTGTTAGAAAACCTGCTGGGTTAAGGATTTTTGACAGGAAGGCTATGGGTCGTCAGTGGCCTCAGTGCTTTTGGGCTACACTCTTGTTTACACTGACCACTGACAACAAGGTGGTATTGGAGTGTTACAGGGTCATGGAGAAGACCTTCAATTATCATTTATAGGTTTTAAATTTACCCTGGCTTTTAAAGCAATAGGGCACACTGTTTTTTCTTTACTACTTCTCTCTCTTTCTCTTTGACTTTCTGTTTCGCTCTTTGACTCCTTCTCTGTCTCTGTCTCTTCCCCTCTTGCTCTTTGACTGCCTCTTTGTCTGTCTCTTCCTCTGCCTGTCTCTCTCTTTGACTCCTCCTTTGTCTGTCTCTTCCTCTCTCTCTTTCCTTATCTCTTTGACTTTCTGTCTCTCTCTCTTCCTCTCTCTCTGACTTACTGTCTCTCTGTCTCTTCCTCTCTCTCTTTCTCGTTCTCTTTCTCTCTGACTTTCTGTCTCTTTCTTTCTCTCTTTCTCTTTGACTTTCTGTCTCTTTTTCTTTCTCTGTCTCTCTCTTTCTGTCTCTCCCTTCTGCCCCCTTTGACTTTCGCTTCGGCAGTGTAAGACTGCCACCTCCTTGGGTGTTTGCACTGCGTGCAATAACTCCATGATTTCATTGTGGTATTTAATGGGGGTTCCCCCACAGGTTAGGCATTCCCTTTCTTTCCATATTGCAGCATGGGCATGTAGGATTAGATAAGCATACTTGCTATCAGTATACACATTTATTCTTTTTCCCTTTCCCAGTTCTAAGTCTTGGGTAAGTGCCACTAGTTCTGCTAACTGGGTGCTGGTCCCTGGGGGAAGAGGCTTACTTTCAAGTACTGTTACATCACTAACTATGGCATAACCTGCCTTTCATATGGCATTCTCCACAAATGAACTTCCATTGGTATATAGGTTAAGGTCAGGATTAGCTAAGGGATTTCTAAGAGATCCTCTCGGTGGCGTAAGTCTGGACTATAATTTGTTAACAGTCATGCTCAATTGGTTCTCCATCCTCTGAGAGAAAAGTGGCAGGGTTGAGGGCCACACGTGTGCTTATTTGAAGCACCGGTCCCTAAAGAAGTAGCACCTGGTATCTGAGCAGGTGGTTGTCTGATAGCCATAAACTTCCTTTGGCACCTAGTATGCCATTTACATCATGAGTAATCCAGATAGTGAGATACTTTCCTTGTATTATTTTGATAGCCTCTGACACTAAGACGGCCACCGCCGCTACGACCCATAAACAGTGAGGCTGGCCTTTTGCTGCTGCATCAATTTCCTTACTTAGGTATGCCACTGGTTGTGGGGTTGTCCCATGAGTCTGAGTAAGGACTCCAAGAGCTATTCCTGCTCTCTCTGTGATGTATAAAGAGAAGTTTTGTCCTGTGGGAAGGCTTAAGGATGGAGCTTGTACTAGGGCCTGCTTTAAGGTTTTGAAGGCTGTTTCTGCCTCTGGTTCCCATTCCACTAGATGAGTATTTGCCTTCTGGGTCTCCTTGATTAGAGTATAGAGTGGTCTGGCCATCTCGCTGTATCCAGGGATCCATAGTCGACAAAAGCCAGTGATTCCAAGGAACCCACAACTGTTTTAATGTCTTAGAGCGAGGATAAGCCAGTATAGGCTGTATTCATTCCTTGCTGAGGGCCCTGGTTCCTCTGGCTAAGATTAGGCCTAGATATTTGACTTGTAGGCAGAGCTGGGCCTTTGATTTATACACCTTGTACCCTTGATTAGCTAGAAAGTTCAAGAGATCCAGAGTAGCCTGCTGGCATGACGCTTCCAAACTGGTAGCCAAAAGTGAATCATCCACATACTGAAGGACCAGAGTGCCTGGACTTGAGAAGTGGCCTGGATCTTGCCCCAGTGCCTGACCAAACAGATGAGGGCTATCCCTAAATGCTTGGGGCAAGACCGTCCATGTAAGTTGGGATGTGTGGTCTTGTGGGATCCTCAAAGGCAAAGAGAAACTGGGAGTCAGAGTGCAGGGGAATACAGAAGAAGGCATCCTTGAGGTCCAGAACTGTGAACCATTCTGCTTCCTCTGGTATTTGAGAGAGCAGGGGAATACAAAAGGTGGCATCCTTGAGGTCCAGAACTGTGAACCATTCTGCTTCCTCTGGTATTTGAGAGAGCAGGGTATAGGAGTTGGGTACAACTGGATATAGAGGAATTACTGCCTCAATGATGAGTCTAAGATCTTGTGCTAGTCTCCACTGACCGTTTGGTTTTTGTACTCCTAGAATTGGGGTGTTGCAGGGACTGCTTCATTTTCTTACTAAGTCTTGAGCTTTTAAATGTCTAACAATATCCTGTAATCCTTTGTGAGTTTCAGGCCTTAAGAGATATTGCCTTTGATAAGGAAAAGTGGTGGGGTCTTTTAGCCTGATTTGGACTGGGGGGGCATTTTTTGCCCTTCCGAATTGTCCTTCTGATACCCAGACTTCAGGATTGATTCCCTCCTCAAGCAGGGGACAACAAATGGATAACTTGTTCCCCATATTCACGTAGATGATAGCTCCAGCTTTGGCTAATATGTCCCTCCCTAATAAGGGTGTGAGACTTTCAGGCATAATGAGAAAGGCGTGTGACAAAAGCAAAGTCTCCCAATTACAACTCAGGAGGTGGGAGAAATACCTGGTTAAAGGCTGTCCCAGGATTCCTCGGATGGTAACGGACCTCAAGGACAGCTCTCTGGGACAGGAGATTAACACTGAGAAAGCCGCACCAGTGTCCAGGAGGAAGTCAATTTCCTGGCCCTCAATGGTTAAACATACCCGGGGTTCAGTGAGGGTGATGACATGAGCTGGCGCTTGCCCTGGGCACCCTCAGTCCTTTTGTTGGATCAGCTGGTTGGGGGCTTCTGACCCAGAGAAACTTTGCACCTTCCAGTGATTGGCTCGGCATAGTGGACATGGGCGAGGGGGCAGCTTGTTTCTTGTTGGACAATCTTTTTTAAAGTGTCCTTGTACACCACACTGATAACAAACCCTACCGGGTGATTGGCCTGCTCCATTTTCTGTCCTTTCTGAACTACCAAGGTTTGTTTGTCTGAGGGCCATGACTAAGGCTGCAGCCTTTCTCTGATCTCGCTTTTCCTTTTTGGCCTGCTCCTCTTGGTCCCTATTATAGAAGACCGAAGTTGCCAGGTTTAATAATGCCTCCAGATTTTGTTCAGGGCCCAGGGCTCGCTTTTGGAGCTTTCTCCTGATATCTGCAGCTGATTGGGTAATAAACTTATCTTTTAGGATTAATTGACCCTCGAGGAAGTCAGGTGACAGGGGAGTATATTTTCTTAAGGCCTCCCATAGCCACTTGAGGAAGGCAGAAGGATTTTCTTCCTTTCCCTGAGTTATGGTGGACATCATTGAATAATTTATGGGCTTTTTCCTAATTCTCCTTAGTCCTTCTAGAACACAGGTCAGCAGATGTTTATGACTCCAGTCCCCATGATGTGAGTCTAGGTCCCATTGGGGATCCATACTGGGGACGGCTTGCTGACCAGTAGGGAATTTGTCCCTTTCTTTGGCTGTCATTCTATCATCCACTTGACTAAGATACCAGGTATCTCCAAACTCTCGGGCTGCAGCTAAAGCCACATTCTTTTCATTAAAGGCCAGGGTTTGATCTAACAATAGCATGACATCTCTCCAAGTGAAATAGAAGGTTTGCCCTAGACCCTGTAGGACATCTATATACCCTTCAGGATCATCTGAAAACGTCCCCAGGTCTGCCTTGGTCTGCTTTAAATCAGAGAGGGAGAAGGGGACATGTACCCAGGTTGGGCCAAATTCCCCTCACCCTACAGCTTGAAGGGATCATAACCGATAGCCCAGGGGTTTTTGTGGTCTCTTGGAGATTTCTTTACTTCTTTCCTTCTGGGTAGGGGAGATTAGAGGAGGATTATCATTAATAGGAAGGGGAGCTGTAGGGAGGCTAGGATATGGGGGTAAGCTGAGAGGTCCTCCTGTGGGATGTAAATTGCAAGCTTTGCATAGTTGTGAATTCTCCTTCAATGAAAAGAAAGCTTGGACATAAGGTATTTCACTCCATTTGCCTTCCCTCTTACAGAAAAGGTCAAGCAGGAGGACAGTATTGTAATTTATACTTCCCTCAGGTGGCCATTTTTTCCCATCAGAGAGAGAATATTGGGGCCAGGCCATAGTGCAGAAAAAAAATAAGCCGCTTCTTTTTCAGGGTTTGTGGGTCAAATTGGTCTCAATGGCTTAGGATGCATTTCAAGGGTGAGCCTGTTGATGCCTGAGTGTTTCCCATCTGAAAGAAAAAACCGCCCATGGTTTTGGTTTGTTTGTTCCCCTCACTGGCCCAAGAACCCACAACGGTCCCTGGACCCTGCTGATAGGAACAGTTGTGCTCACCGACGCAGCAGCAGAAACCTCACTTGCCCAAGAACCTGCAACGGTCCCTGGACCCTGCTGATCAGAATAGTTGTGCTCACCGACGCAGCAGCAGAAACCCTAGTTTTCCTCTTAGACCACAAAGAGGACCAAGGAAGGTCAGATTTAGTGGCCCTTACCGACACATTCTCAGAAACCTGTTAGAGTCCTAAGTGTTCTCCTGCTAGTATTGGGACCTTACCCCTGTCCTATAAAGGTATTATGCCCAAAAAGGCCGGGTGTGGTGGCTCACGCCTGTAATCCCAGCACTTTGGGAGGCTGAGGTGGGCGGATCACCTGAGGTCAGGAGTTCGAAATCAGCCTGGCCAACATGGTGAAACACTGTCTCTACTACAAAATACAAAAATTAGCCAGGCATGGTGGCAGGCGCCTTAGTCCCAGCTACTTGGGAGGCAGAGGCAGGAGAACCATTTGAACCCGGGAGGTGGAGGTTGTAGTGAGCCGAGATCAAGCCATTGCACTCAAGCCTGGGGGACAAGAACGAGACTTCTCTCAAAAAAAAAAAAAAAAAAAAAAAAAAAAAAAAAAAAGATGTTATGCCCCCAAAAATGAAGTGGAGGGCCATATCCTGAGGGAGGGAAGGGATCTCCAGGGTTGGAAGAGTGACGCCTTTTGTCCTCGCTTCTCATCATATGAATAGGAAGGATATCATTTCTGAGGCTCCCCATATCCTAGCTTCAGGAATAGCTTTTGTTAGACCTGCTAGTCTGAGGAGGGATCCTAAAATTCCAGATAGTGCCCCCCCACCACCGACAGGGCTTTGGGCAAAAAATATGTCTTTCTGATTGCTGAGCCCAGGTACCTAAAGAAGGGAACAGAGTCCTGAAGTTTATACTAGAAATCATTCTTCTAGGAGAAACTAGAAAAGCACCGGAGACAGGGAGTGGTTTTTAAAAGTGGGACAAGTCTCAGAGAAGAGAGTGGGAGGAAGTTTGTCTGATAGGGGTTGAGACCCAGGAGGCAAGAATCAGGATAGATAGGATAGATGGGCGAGTCTTGTTTGGGCGACATGACTTTGAGAGTTCTGCTCATGGCTACAGGGTCAACCAACTTTTTGTCGGGACCCCAGAGCTGAATGGCTTTCCTCTCTGTTGACCCTCAGCTCAGTCCAGAAGTATAGGAAAAGTGGAAACTGGTTCTAGTTAAACCAACACTCCCAACTCCTAAGAGTTGGGGGTTGTTAGAGAGCGCTTTCCCAGAAAGCCTGACACCTGTGTCTTTAGTCTGGCGGCTGCGCTAGTTGCTTTTAACTGGCCAACAGGTGCCTGGTATTTAGCCCCTGAATGCTAAGGAAAAATAGGACAGACTAGCAAGCGAAAGGGGTCCAATGGTACCCACTGCTTGGCGATAGTCCCATCTGGGTTGCCAGGATGTGTCTGGAGTTGGTTCCTTCCAGTGAGTAGTTGGTCTCACTGACTTCAAGAATGAACCCATGGACCTCCACGGTGAGTGTTACAGCTCTTAAAGGTGGCACGGACCCAAAGAGTGAGCAGCAGCAAGATTTATTGTGAAGAGCAAAAGAACGAAGCTTCCACAGTGTGGAAGGGGACCCGAGCAGGTTGCTGCTGCTGGCTGGGGTGGCCAGGTTTTATTTCCTTATTGGTCCCCACCCACATCCTGCTGATTGGTCCATTTTACAGAGTGCTGATTGAGCCATTTACAATCCTTTAGCTAGACACAGAGTGCTGATTGGTGCATTTTTACAGAGTGCTGATTGGTGCATTTCCAAGCCTTTAGCTAGACATAGAGTGCTGATTGGTGCATTTTTACAGAGTGCTGATTGGTGCATTTACAATCCTTTAGCTAGACGTAGAGCACTGATTGGTGCATTTTTAGAGTGCTAATTGGTGCATTTACAATCCTTTAGCTAGACACAGAGCACTGATTGGTGCATTTACAATCCTTTAGCTAGACACAAAAGCTCTCCAAGCCTCTATCCCATTAGCTAGACACAGCGTGCTGATTGGTGCATTTACAATCCTTTAGCTAGACACAGAGTGCTGATTTGTGTGTTTTACAGAGTGCTGATTGGTGCATCTACAGTCCTTTAGACACAGAGTGCTGATTGGTGCATTTACAATCCTTTAGCTAGACAGAAAAGCTTCCCAAGACCCCACTTGACCCAGGAAGTCCAACTGGCTTCACCTCTCAGTATGACACTGCTAGTTGTACCACTGCATATTGAATCAATGTCATACTGGTGGACTTTTATGTTACTTTTAATTTTTTGCTCTTGCAGACTGTTTCAGTGAATATTTTTGTACATGTGTCATTTAAAATATATACTTATAGGCCTGGTGTGGTGGCTTATGCTTGCAATCCCAGCACTTTGGGAGGCTGAGGCAGGCAGATCTCCTGAGGCCAGGAGTTCGAGACCAGCCTGGCCAACATGGCAAAACACTGTCTGTACAAGAAGTACAAAAATTAGCCGGGCATGGTGGCACATGCCTGTAGTTCCAGCTACCTGGGAGGCTGAGGCAGGAGAATCGCTTGAACCCGGGAGGCGGTGGTTGCAGTGAGCCAAGATCCCGCCACTACACTCTAGCTGAGGTGACAGAGTGAGAGTGTGTGTGTGTATCTATATTTATATATATTTACTTATAGAATATATAGAATAAATTCATAGACTATATGTAGAATGAATACATATAGAATACATTCCTTGAAGCAGAATTTCTAGATCAATGAATATGGCACTAACAATTTTGATTGGCCATGAGGAAGCTCTATCCAGTGATCTCTTGAACACTGTGGCTGTGAGCCATCCCCTTCCTCAGAGTCTCTGCTGTTGCTATCAAGGGCAACTGTTTCCACTTGCAGAATCCTCCCTCTTTTCTGGAGTATGTGATAAAACGTCTTATCTAGTGGATTTGTATAAATCCTTCATGCACGGAGAATGCTTTGTATATGTGGTGTAATGTGGCTGGTTCAACTTTTTTTTTTCCACAACCTTTTACTTGTCATCATAATCCTGGTTATGGAAGCCCTCTGCTGACTTCCTGGCATCTTCCTTCTTTTCCTCTGTTTCGTTCTCCCTCCTCCTCCTCCTCCACTACCAGCAGACTTCATATAATTTCACCCACTAAAAGGACACTTTTTTTCCTTTTCTTTTTCTTCTCCTCCTCTCCTTAATTTCAACTCCACTAGGCTACAGTTCCCAGTTATTCAATCAAATGAATCTAGGTGTTGCTGTACAGCTATTTTGTAGACGTGATTAGAGTCCACAGCCATTTGACTTTAAGTAAGGGAGATTATCCTTGATAATCTGGGTGAGTCTGATTCAATCTGTTGAAAGGCCTTAAGACCAGAGCTGAAGGCCCTGTGAACAGTATTCTCCCTGTGAATAGTAGCTTTAGCATGTGCCTGAGAGTTCCAGCCTGCTCTTCTTGATGGCCCACCCTACGGATTTCAGACTCGGATTTCACCCTACAGATTTCACTCCCTACAACAGTGTTAGCCCATTTCTTGCAATGAATCTCTTCATATATATCTTCTACTGGTTCTGTTTCTCTGATTGAACCCTGACTGATACATCCTTCAAGGTATTTCCTCCATCCAGTCTGGGAACTCATTTCATTGATAAGACAAGCATAGGGAGGGACTCCTCAGACCCTTTTATCTGCCCCTCAAGGGGAAAACCAATTTCAGTGAATAATTACAGAGAACTACCATTGCCTCTGATAGAAAATAAAACATTCTTCAGGGCCCAGAAAGAGTTTCCCAGTGTCAGGAGCCATGTGCCATGGTAGTCAAATGGAACCACCCTATTGTTGCTTATTTGGTTGGCTGATGTCAAAATGCTGTTAATTGCATAAAAAAGAGAGTAGGCCAGGCACATTGGCTCATGCCTGTAGTCTCAACTATTAATATTTGGGAGGCTGAGGTGGGAGGCTTCAGCCCAGGAAATCAAGGTTGCAATGAGCTGTGATTGAGCCACTGCACTGCAGCCTGGGTGACAGAATGAGACCCTGTCTCAAAAAAAAAAAAAA